CATTTCTTTCTACTGGCTTGTTGTTTATATTCTGTCTCTGAGATTATGCCTTTGACACACCTGGTAAATTCAATAGCAAAGGGCAACAAAAATTGCTTCCCCCCCCCCCACCACCTAAAGTACCTGGAGATAGAATCAGCCCCATGCCCCTGAGGAAGGGATTTCCATGCGCTGGTCTGCTGCTCACAGATTCAGGGAAGTTTCCTAGCTGCTATTCGGTCAAGTATCCTGCTCCGCTGACACTTGTAACACAGCCCTGAAAATATAAGCTGGGCTAATGATCTCATTCTTTTTAAACTGCAGAAATCCTCATAGGGGTGGACAGGCTGGCAAAATCATGTGGGAGCCAGCAAACTTTTAATGCCGATTAAGAAGCCTAAGCATGGTAATTCCGAAGCCAATACTTCTGACTCGCTCTTTGCCTGGCCCAGAACTAGTCAGTCCAGTTAATTTTCACTCCCACTGCTCTCCTGTCTTTTCTTATCCCCAGAGAGCTCGAAAATGCCTCTGTTTATCTAAGTGTTTCATTTATGCACTCTAACATCATAGTGGGCACCTACTATGAGCAAAGGACTGTCAGGTTGTGTGGGGTTATCCTGATGGATCACACACAAAGCCTGTACTCACTGAGTGGAGAGGGTGATAAACATCAGATCCACTTGGTGAGGGATGGATCAAACTGAACTCCTCAAAAAGTGTGTGACAGGGGTGACTGGGTGGCTCAGTTATTAAGCGTCTGCCTTTGTCTCAGGTCATGATCCCAGGGTCCTGGGATCGAGCCCCGCATCAGGCTCCCTGCTCAGCGGGAAGCCTGCTTCTCCCTCTCCCACTCCCTCTGCTTGTGTTCCCTCTCTTTCTGTCAAATAAATAAATAAAAGCTTAAAAAAAAAAAAAAAGTGTGTGACAGGATTCCATCCCCAGTCTAAGTGCAAGCTCATGTTGGAAAGCCTGTCCTCTAGAGTAGGAGGAAGAGCACTGGGCTGACTTCTGGGAGAGGGTAGGGTGGGGGAGATGGGCATATGTATTAGGGAGGAAGGTGGGAAAATGGAAGGTATCCAGAAATAACTGGACATGTACCAAACAATGGGGGAATAATATCAATCCATAATTTGGCCATTAAAAGAATTATGGTGTATTCTGTACCTGCATCCCAATGTTTATAGCAGCAATGTCCACAATAGCCAAACTATGGAAAGAGCCCAGATGTCCATCAGCAGATGAATGGATAAAGAAGATGTGGTATATATAGACAATGGAATATTATGCAGCCATCAAAAAATGAAATTTTGCCATTCGCAACAAAATGGATAGAACTAAAAGGTATGCTAAGCGAAATAAGTCAATCAGAAAAGGACAATTATCATATGATCTCATTGATATGTGGAATTTGAGAAACAAGGCAGAGGATCATAGGGGAAGAGAGGAAAAAATGAAACAAGATGAAACCAGAGAGGGAGACAAACCATAAGAGACTCTTAATCTCAGGAAACAAACTGACGGTTCCTGGAGTGGGAGGGATGGGGTGGGTGGGTGATGGACACTGGGGAGGGTATGTGCTATGGTGAGTGCTGTGAATTGTGTAAGACTGATGAATCACAGATCTGTACCCCTGAAACAAATAATACATTATATGTTGATAAAGATAATTTTTTAAAAATTAAAATAAATAAATCTTTTAAAAAAAGAAAAAATTTTTCTGATTTCAAAAGTAATACATGTTAATTGTTTAAAATTTTTTAATACAGAAAAGTATAAAAAATTAAAATTGCTCATTACCCTTAACAGCATATCACTGTTACTATTTTCATGTATTTTTCTTGTATTTTCTTTGTGTATGTGTGTATGTCTTTTTTGTATGTAACTTTTAAACACAATTTGATCAAACTGCTTTGCAGTCTACTTTCTCATAACAATAGACTAGAAATTTTCCCATGCCAATAAATTTATTCTAATACATGACTTTAAGTGGCTGCACTTTAAGTGGCTATACTTTAAGTTACTTAACCAAGATTTTCTTTTTAGTCATTAAGGTTATTTCCAATTTTCCATTATTATATGTAACTTCAAGGATTATCCATATATATAAATGTTTATATATGCTTATGATTATTTCCTAGTATTTCTAGAAATACAATTCCTGGTCCAAGGTCATGCACATTTTTAAATGTTTCATATATATTGTCAAGTTGTCTTTCAGGAAGTTTACACCAGTTACTTTCCCACCAGCAGGGTATGAAAGGGCTATTTCTCTGAACTCTCACCAATCCTGGGCATTACTCTTCTTTTGTAATCCTTGTCAATTTGGCAGATGAAAAACATCTCATTGTTTTAATTATTAGAGAGTATTTTTTATCTATCAAAGTGGTAAATAGGTATTTTTCCTTCCAAGTGCCCTGAAATCAAATAGCAAAATGAGTGTTTCCCTTTTCCTCCATTTAACTACCCTTCTCCCAAATCCCTGAAAAAAATGATAGAAAAATCAGAGTAGAATCTGCTCAAATGATCAGTGCCCAGACAAACTCAGGGTCATTTTACCTGAACCAATTTAAAAGGTAGTGGAACAGAAGGCTCAAAACAACACATAAATCTATACGTTATAACTTTGAAATGGGTAACAAGTCCATGCACAAAAATTTTTTCAGCTTTAAAAGGGTATCAGTCACCAGTTAGTACTCACTACTATTAAAATCCATTTGCGTTTCTTCAACAATACCCAATTCTGTGATGGGGACAAATCCAAGATGGGCCAAGCCGGCAGCCCATCCTCCAGTCTTGAGTGGCTCGCTGAGCCATTCAGCATGACTCTCAGCTCCTGCTTAGCCTTCTTGTCCCTTGGCTTTGCCTTTGTTTTGTGGTTGCCTCTATATGAAGTCCTTTTCTCCGGTCATCAACAGCCTTATTTCCCATGGAAGAATTTACCCCTGTCCCATTCTCAGTGTAGTTTGCCTGGAATTGATCACAACACTTCTCTGGACTTGAAGTGGGATGCAGGTAGCTCTGGAAGCTGCGGGCAGCCCTCTGCGGCCATGAGGTAGACTTTGCCTCTGAGAGGAGCAAACCTGAAGGAGTGGAGTTGAGAAATGGAGAGAGGCAAAGCTGGATCTGGTCATGTCTGTGAGCCCTGAATCAAGTTTCATGGGAAGCCAGTTATATGAAACAATAAATACTCCCCACTTTTTAACTTAAATCAGATTTTGTCAGCTTTCTGTCACTGGCAAAGCAAAAAATGCTGGCTGAAACATTGGCTGTGGATGGAATCTGTGGTCCAAAAAGGAACTCAGTCCAAGCATTCCAAATATCACACCCATTACTACTACTAGTTCAGTTCATCATGACTCCTGGAGGTGTTCACCTTTAAGGTACCTCCAGGGAAATCCCAAGCTATGTGTAGGCTAAAGTCTCCTAGGATGCCTTGGACAGGCTCAGAATCCTCTCTTCGCTATCTATAGGATAAGAGAGTCAAGAGGGAAGAAGAGGATGGTTTGGTACAATTTTGATTCCTGGGCTACATGCATTGTCATATGGACCTATGAAGACATGAGGATATGAAAAGCTTGATGTCCTTGATCCTCTCCTCTTCTATACCAAAGACTGGTTTGAGACAACCCAGTGTTCTGGAGAAAAGGTAAGGAAATTGTGGATTGGGATGCTGGAAGATATCCTTGGTTCTGGGGTTTATCCCTAGGCTAACATTTCATAGTGAGGTTAAAAAAGGTTAGAAATCTTTTAACTAATTAAATCTGTCTAACATTCTCGATTTGCAAGTTTCACCATGCCGGAAAAAGCTTAAATGCAACTTGAAAAAATTGCAAATCTATTTTTGCATCAATTTTCCATAATACAATATCAAAAAATTAAGTGTTTGCCCAACTCATTGGTATGTACATTCTACAGTCAGAAATTCTAAGTATAAGCAAACTAAAGCCAACATAATCTATAGAAGAAATCTCTAATCACCGAAGTTGCTGCAAAATAACATCTATGATTACCACATTGTAATCATCATCAAAATAGAGTTTCCTAGAGTCCTAATGTGAGAAGACTCTTCCCTAATCCAACTCAGACCAAGTTCTCAAAAGTCTCTAGAAACACAGCAAATATTGCTAACAGGATTTTTCTGGACTTCTTTCTTTCTTTCTTTCTTTTTTTTTTAAGATTTTATTTATTTATTTGAGAGAGAGAGACAGACAGAGAGCACATGAGAGGCGGGAGGGTCAGAGGGAGAGGCAGACTCCCCGCTGAGCAGGGAGCCCGATGCGGGACTCGATCCCGGGACTCCAGGATCATGACCTAAGCCGAAGGCAGTTGCTTAACCAACTGAGCCACCCAGGCGCCCCAGACTTATTTCTTCATATGCAGCCACATCTAAGAAAAATTTACCAAAAATCTAAATATATATATACACACACACACACACATACACAGATATGTATACACACACACACACGGACATATATATATACACGGATATATATATATATCTGTCCTGCAAGACTTTTTTTTGAACACAGGCCTTAGTTTATGTGCCCACTATCAGACAGGACTAAATGTTACATATCTACAGAACTAAAACAAATTCACCCTTGTGATTGGTTCCTTTCGTAGTGAGGAGGAAAAGAAGGTGCCTTTACAATTCTACCTTCCTCTACTGCTCACATTGCCCTTAAAAATAAAAACATCAGTTACAATATTCCATAAGATAAAGGTCAAGTTCAGTCCAACTGGGTTATATTTGAATATGACTTATTTTACACAGCTCTTTTCAATTTGTGAAAGAGAAAAGAACAGAGAAAAAGGAAGTGAGAAAAAGAGAGAAGAGGGGAGATACCATATGATACTGCTCATTTAGGAAGTGGAATAATGATAGAAGATGCCCTGAGAAAGTCTCAGAATGGAACCAACAAACTTGAAACTGCTGGTATACAAACTGGTATTTTTAGATTTAAGAGAACACATCCAAACTGGATCAGCCTTTTACAGAGAAGAAAAAGATGTCAAACCTTCCTTTGTCCAGTGCCTGCTGAAGGCATATACAGGATCCCAAGTCCTCTTTGCTCCCACTTGAGATCATTGAAGTTCTGTATGATTGAAGCCTCTGATTCTTTTTCATTCAGTCATCATGGGTGCCTGTTATGGGCAAAGTACTTGTTGGTGCTGAGAGCATTCTGAGATCAAGTAGACATAGGGTCTGACCTCAAGTTGCCGACAAAAGAGCAGGAAAAGTGAGAGATAGAAAAGGGTCTTGGTGGAAAGTGCTATCTTGTGATACTGCGAAGGTTTCCATCTAAGAGATCAGGGAAAGTCTTAGGGAGGCAGGGTTATTTGAGTGGTCTCTCAAAAGAGAGGAATAGAAAAAGGCATTCCAAGAGGTGAGGCTCCTTTCCCCCTTTTGCCAGCGCCTACATGATGAGAAGAAGCAGAGACACTGCCCCCGCCCCCAGCCTTTGCCAGAGCTTTTCAGAAGCACCTCACTGCCTATGGGGCGGTGGGGGGGGGGGGGGGGCGGTAGATTGGAGGGTTAAAAAGAAAGGAAATTTGAAAGGATAAATATTAACATGTTAACATCTAGGTGAAGAGAGGGATGGGTAGGGTATGAGCTTCTTTTTGCTTATTTGTGCTTTTTCATTTTGGGAAAGAATGGACTATGGAACATACTTTTGTAATGAAAAAATAAAAACAATTTAAAAACAACAGCCCCACCACCACCAAAAAAAAGAGAAAAGGAATGAGAAGAGCATCCACATGTTTTTGACTTTACATGGTCTTTGAGTCCTCTGGCCAATTCCATGATCACCCGTCTTCAGTACTGCCAATGTTTCATCCTGCTTGGAAACCCAGCCTATTTGCAGCATGCAAATAGAGCTGCAGCATGCCTCAGAGAGTATATCATGGCAAAATCATTGGCTTCAGCAAAATATAATCTCTAAGACAGTTTAGGCCCCTTGGGCCAGATAGCCCTAACCTTATCTAGAAGAGAAGTTACTTTCATTTTCTGCAAATCTTGAATTCCTGACAGTGAAAGCCCTAAGGAAGGAGTGGGGACAGAAGATGGCTGAGGGTCACCACTATCGACTTCACCTCCTGCCTGCCTACTGGGAAGCCTCATTAAAAATTTGGGAGGAGCAAAGTGGGTGCAAGCTGAGTTGAGACTAGGTAATGGCAGGTAGTCTGAAAGCTCTATTATATAAGCTTGAGCCTGGCTACTGGTGTGTCACTAACGTGTGCCACACAGTGACACCCTCAGCTCTCATGGCTGCCCGGTAGGACCAGCAGTGGCCAGAGCCTCCCATGCAGCCTCCTCCCGCAGGAGCGCCTTGCCAGTTCACCCCAGGGTACTGGTCAGACACCATCTTCTACATGTAGCATAACATAGCACACATACAGAGAACACTGAGGTAGGATTCCGAGATGTACTGTTACACCGCAATTTGCTGATCTGGAACTGCTGTCTTACAGAAAGTGATGTGGGAACACCAGCAGCAAGCATTCACAGAGAGCTGTTCGTTTGTGCCGGGCCTTGGGATGCTCGATGTATCAGTTCGGTGGTGGATATCACCGACTTGTGCCTGCTCAGCACCCAGGCCCTCTCGCCGGGGAACAGCATCTACACCTTCTGTGGGGACCGGCTTTCCCAGCTGCATGCAGTCCTGTGGGCATGTCAGCCAAGGCATCTTGTTCTCCACCTGTGAGGCAGACAGCATCTGGCCCAGCCAAGGCCAGGCTGACTTCTCTTCCTAGAATTTCAGTGTTAAACAGAAAGACACAAGAACTGAAAATAACCTAAGATGATACATCCTGTTGTGAATATCCTGAAGAAGGAAACTGGTTCTCTCTCTACTCTCTAGATCCCCTTAGCTGCCCTGGTCCTCCTCCTGTACAAGATTTGGTAATATACTTTTCATTCAATTATATTAGCTAATTCATCTTCTTCCAATAAATTTCTTCCACTGTTCCCCAAAGTTAGCTCTAAAGTCTATCTCTGTTGTTTGCAACAATAAAAAAACCCCAAAGGTATGAGCTAACCTTCTTAAGAAACTCATTTTGTGTCAATATTATACCTATTTTAATATAAAGTAATTGAACTTCAGAGATGTTAAAAAACTTGCCCAAGGTCACACAGCTAATGAGTGCCACCCATACTCAGAATCTTAACCCATGTCTGTCTGACATGGAGACATAAGAGTGTAGGTTTTGTTATGAGAGAGCAAAATGAGCTCAAATCCCCACTTTTCTGCATAAAACCCTGGTTATATTAATGTCTCTGAATTGCAACAATTCCCTCTAAATTAGAAAAATGGGAAAAAATAATGCTCATTTCACAGAGTTGCTGAGGGTTGATGGAAATAATGTACATGAAAGCAGTGGCCTGGAGTATGTGCTTAACACATACTAATGTTCTTTCCCTAAAAATGAAAATTATTATCTCTGTAGAGTTAATTCAACAAGTTGATTCCTTGTTTAGTCCAAAGATTATTGCTTCTGATTTGACTCAAGTACAATCTCTGTCTCCCTCCCTCCTTCCCTTTCACACACACAGAGTTTTGTTTATGGAGGTTTCCCTCATATCTCTATCCTCCACCTGTGTCCTGATGTCCTGTCTGTGGAAGGCTTATCAGAAAATGCAGACACCCTTAGGAAAAAGAGCAGAAGGGGTACATAAATATGCATGCAATCTAAATTTTCCACCCAACCTGCCTTTGGAAAAGGAAGAGACAAAAATTTTCATTCCCCTTAAGGATGATGGAAATGAGGCACAGAGACACTAAATGTCTATCTTCAGGTTACACAGCAAACCAAAGTTTAAGGTGGGGATGCAGAAATGATATACTAGGCCATTTGGTCTGAAAATGCTAGAGCCTAGAAGAGAAAGAGCAGGCTTGTTTTCTTTCTTTCTTCCTTTCTTTTTTTAAACATTTTATTTATTTGACAGAGAGAGCGAGAGAGCACAAGCAGGGGGAATAGCAGAGGGAGAGGGAGAAGCAGGCCCCCCAGGGCTCAATCCCAGGACTCTGGGATCATGACCCAAGCCGAAGGCAGATGCTTAACCATCTGAGCCACCCAGCCGCCCCTTTCTTTTTTTTTTTTTTTAAGATTTTATTTATTTATTTGAAAGAGCGCGAAAGCTTGAGCAGGAGGAGGGGCAGAGGGAGAAGCAGACTCCCTGCTTGGAGCCCAATGCTGGACTTGATGTGGGACTCCATCCCAGGACCCCGGGATCACAACCCGAGCCAAAGGCAGACGCTTAACTGACTGAACCAACCAGGCGCCCCGAAAGAGCAGGTTTTCTAAGTTGTTGGTTTTCTTTTTGCCCCCACTCTCCTTCCCACCTCAAATAAAACAGCTTCATCATTTAAACATCTACATTAGGCAAATTTCTAAGAAAATTTCTCCAGAACTCTGTCCGTGCCACACCTTGTCTTTCTCTTCAGAGCTGTAACCTACTTAAAATCAGCTTATAATTCTTTTTAATTTTTTTTAAGTAATCTCTACACCCAACGTGGGGCTCAAACTCACAACCCCAAGATCAAGACTTGCATGCTCTACCAACTGAACCAGCCAAACACTCCTTAAAGTGATCTTATAATTATTTTAATGGGGGGCGGGGGAGTCCCAAAGATGTGTTCCCTATGCTAGAAAAATTAAAGTCCTCTTACGATATACAGGTAAGGAGAAAGTGTTATTTGTACTAAGATTTCTGATGCTTCTTCAGAGATATATTCAGGTTTTTCTAGGATTGAGATTGTGAAAAACAACTAAAAGACCTAATTAGCCAGTTAGTTAACAGATATTTACAAACTGCTTGCCATAAGGAAGGAATTTACCAAAACTGACATTAGCTAATAACAAGAATGAACAAAAATCCATACAGCTTGAACTTATTCAATATAATTATGACTCTCATGATTTCTCTGGTTTCTAGGGCCAAGAAAACAACATTCTACATTGTAATATGATAATCTCTGGGATTTCTTTTCTTCCCCACATTCATTTCTTTCAATCTTGAAGGTATTGAGAGTTCTTTATTATTGACATGGCAATATATAAGAGCAAATGAATTTTTATTTTATTTTTTTTTAAAGATTTTTTTTAAAATTTATTTATTTGAGACAGAGAGAATGAGAGAGAGAGAGCACATGAGAGGGGGGAGGGTCAGAGGCAGAAGCAGGCTCCTTGCCGAGCAGGGAGCCCGATATGCGGGACTTGATCCAGGGACTCCAGGATCATGACCTGAGCCGAAGGCAGTCGCTTAACCAACTGAGCCACCCAGGCGCCCGAGTAAATGAATTTTTAAAACTTAAAAATCATTTATAATACATCACTTTAGCACAACAACTGCATGTGAGGATTTTTGTCTTCCAGGTACACACAGATTATTTAAAGTTACAAACATGGTATGCTTGCTATTTTATATTTTGTTGTCCATTTAATCATAAATATTTTCCATGTTTCTACTTGTCTCTGGATTTAAGCTTTTGTTATGAATGTAAAATATTCCATTGTGTGAAATACCACAAATTTTTTCACTATTCCTCCAATGTTGGGCATTTCAGCTATTTCTATTTTTTTCTATTATAGGTAACATACTAGAGGATATCTTTCATGCATTTGGAAATTTTTAAATCTTTATTAAAAAACTGTATTGAGAAAAATTCCAGGATACAGTACTTTTAGGACTTTTCCTATATACTATCATCTTGCATTCCCTCCAAATTTTACCAATTTACACTGCAGCCCACAATAAGCAATGCAATTTTATTGCCCCCTCAACAGCATTGTTTTTTTTTTTAAGATTATTTATTTATTTATTTGAGAGTGAGCGAGCGAGCGAGAGAGGGGACATGAGTGGGGAGGAGGAGCAGAGGGAGAGGGAGAAGCAGACTCCCAGCTGAGCTGGGAGCCCAGCGTGGCGCTTAATCCAGGGACTCCAGGATCATGACCTGAGCTGAAGGCAGACCTTTAACTGACTGAGCCATCCAGGTGCCCCAGTTTTTAAATTTTGTTAATCATTAGCAAAAAGTAAAACAGTATCACTGTTTTAAACAGTTAAAATGTTAAAAAAAAAAAAAAGTTAAAAAAGTTAAAATGTTAAAAAAATTTAAACACTGTTAAAACAGTGTTATAATTTGCACTTCTGATAGCTGTCAAAATAAATACATACCTATGTGTTTGTTTGCTCATTTACTTCCTCAGGTGAATGAATTTCTTTTTATGGACCCTGAATTTACCCATGGAGTTTTTTTCCCCCCAGTCAGGTTTATGGAGATATAATTTACATATTAAAAATTTACTCTTTTTAGTGGATAGTTCTGGCTTTTAACAAATATATGCCATTATAAAACAGCTCTATTATCCCCAAACTCTCCTTGTTCCCCTTTGTAGTCAACTTCTCCCCCACATCTCCATTTCCTGGCAATTGCTAACCTTATTTTTTTTCTTTTCCAGAATGTCATGTAAATGGAATCATACAGTATATAGCTATGCATGGAATTCTAATGTGTTTTTTTTTTTTTTAACTCCGAAGGGTTTGTTTTGTAGTATTCAAAATACTTTATTAAAGGTTTTGTTCAGGGGCGCCTGGGTGGCTCAGATGGTTAAGCGTCTGCCTTCGGCTCAGGTCATGATCTCAGGGTCCTGGGATCGAGTTCCGCATCGGGCTCCCTGCTCCTTGGGAGCCTGCTTCTCCCTCTGCCTCTCTCTCTCTCTGTCTCTCTGTCTCTCATGAATGAATAAATAAAATCTTAAAAAAAAAAAGGTTTTGTTCAATCTCAAAAGAGCAGTTCAGCGTAGGAAGAACAGAAGTTGTGACTCTCACTCACTTTCTTGTATTGAAACACCTGGGATAAAAAGGCCTTCTAGAAATAAGCCTTCAAATAGCCCAAGTCAATGCTTAACTCTACTTCTCCCTTTTCAACACCCCATCTCTCTCCTTTTCTGAAATGAATTCTTTGTTTAAAGGACATGAACTTTTTTTTTAAAGATTTTATTTATTTTTCAGCAGAGAGAGAGACAGCAAGAGAGGGAACACAACAAGCAGGGGCAGTGGGAGAGGGAGAAGCAGGCTTCCCGCGGAGCAGGGAGCCCATGCGGGGCTCGATCCCAGGACGCTGGGATCATGACCTGAGCCGAAGGCAGATGCTTAATGACTGAGCCCCCCAGGCGCCCAAAGGACATGAACTTTTAATCTGTATTATATAATGCAAATATTTCCCCCACTCTATTCATTTTTCATGTGTCAGAAATTTTAAATTTGAATTTTAATTAACAGTCCCCCCATGGATTCTTTATTGATTCAAAGTAATCCACAGATATAAAATGTAGTGAATTCTATTTTTTTGTTAGCTTTCCTAGAATTCAACTTTTTAATATTTAATTTTGATTCGACTTTAGTTTTTGCCAGTGTTTGCAATAAGGCAAAGACTTTAAAACTTTCTTGATTGTGACCCACGGTAAGAAATGTATTTTGCATCATGACTCAGTGCACACAAGTATACAGAGATAAAACTGAAACACAAGTTTTAAGGAACAAACCTTCCCCTCACTGCAGAGGCCCCACTCTGATATTTTCTATTCTATTTAGTTTTCTTCTTAAAATGCTGGTCATGACCCACCAAACTGATTTCATGACCCATGGATGAGCCTGAAAAAATATAAAATAGGATTTTATTAATGCATCACAATCCTGTTAAGTATTCCCACTCTGAGCTTGGATGACACCTGAAGATGAACGGATATAAATGAAGTAAGTCGGGTCAATTGGACATTTTCTTCCAGGGCCTGTGAAGTAAACTGCCTCTTTTCGGAGACTAGATATTGGTGGTCATGGCGGGGAGGGGCAGAGAGAGATGAGACATGGTTTTGCTCTTGAACACTGTAACCATCTAGTGGACTGGGAGCCTTCACAGGGTTGGCCTGGCCTGCCCTGTGAGGTGGATCAGCTCTGAGGTGGCCTGTCGGGAGAGGGCCTTTGGGTTTGAGGTAGCAGAAGCCGCTGGGAGCCATCCTTCACGTGGAATTAGAAGAAAGCAGCTCCAGTTCAGCTGAGGGCGCTAAGAGCAGGCAAGGTGAAGCATGCCTATGGCCTGATTTTCCAAGTGAATGCTGGGGAAAGCCTGGGGGAGGCCCATGGCGGGTAAGTGAAGGCACTGTCTCAGGGGGCCTGGTGGGCTCCAGAAGGAGACAAAATAGTGTTTTGTGTGCGGCTATGCACAGACTAGGAAAACAATGACTAAAGGGCAGGGTGGAGGTTGTTACAACTGTCTTGGATTGCTGGGAGAGAGGTACCAAGGAAGGACTTGTCTAGGTCAGAGCCTGAGAATGCAGGAATACGAATAATCCCATGTAGCAGTGTGGGGAAGTTGTGGTCGTTCTGTGGTCAGGAAATACCTCCTGGTTACTCCCTCAGTGGCCCTGGCACATAAGGCTTTTGATCCACATCGGGTAGCCTGTATGATCTTTAAACAGAACCCGAATTCTCTTGCCTTTTTATTTGGTGAATGACTGAGGCTTGCTGAGGGTTTCAGAAGATACAATGCTTTCATACCTGTTCCTCAAGGAGGGCGTACCCATTTCTCTAGCCAAAATTAAAGCCCGAGCAAAAGACAGCTGGGACGGGTGAATTTCTTACTCCAGGCTGGTAGATGATACTGAATAATGTATTTAAAAATTCGAACTTCTCATGCCCAGAGTTTTGAGGCCTTACCTCATCATCTTGAGGACCTTAGGTATTGCTGTGTAGTTTCTGCCTCCCACCTGCTTCACAGCACTCATGAATGAATATTCACGAGATAACATTACAGTGTGAGCACTGGAAGAACCTCCCACAAGGTGTGCCCTCCAGTCTGCAAGAGTGCTTGTAGGGACGAGCTTACCCTGGTGCCTGAATTGTCAGGGAACCTAAGATTTAGGATTCCCCTCAAGCTTAGAAGGAGTTCAAGCCATTTGGAAGGGTTTTCAGCCTGAGAAGGATAACACTTTATAATTCTTAGGTGATCTTATCGTTGCTTGTCCCTTCTTTAGAGTGACCACTGCATTCTTAACCCCTCCTCTTTTTCTACGTCCATTCTCCTTGCAGTGGGTGGAAGATTTACACATGTGACCCTGGTTAGTACCAACAGACGTTTATAAATCTACAGCGAGCCCTGGCTTTCACCCTACAGACTTGTAAAGGCACACGTCTCTTTTCCCCCTTGCCCTGGAATATAAATCAGAACATCTCATTTAGGGGCACCTGGGTGGCTCAGTCATTAGGCATCTGCCTTCAGCTCAGGTCATGATCCCAGGGTCCTGGGATCGAGCCCCACGTTGGGCTCCCTGCTCAGCAGGAAGCCTGCTTCTCCCTCTCCCACTCGCCCTGCTTGTGTTCCCTCTCTCTCTGTCGATGAATAAATAAAATCTAAAAAAAAAAAAAAAAATCTCATTTAGTGAGAGAACCTATTTTGAGAGAGATGCTTGCTCCCTCCCTCCTCTGAAACATCACCTTCATCCTGAGCCTCTGAGCAGCTGGATCCCTGCCGTCTGTCTTAGCTAGTAGCTTCTAGGCATTCACAACAGTTATTTACCTTGCCTTACAGCAGTAGCTTATTTGAGAGGCTTAGTTTAATTATCAAGGTCAACTGGAAAAATGTCATCCTAATATCGACTGGAATGGTGGATTGCAAACTTAGTTCATTAGGATCACCTGGGAGCCTTTAAAAAACACACTGCTTAGGCTGTGTCCCAGACCAATTAAGTCAGAGTCTCTGGGGATGGAACCCAGGCATCAGTATTTTTTAAAAGTTCCCCAGGTGTTCCAACATGCAGCCAGGGCTGAGAACCACTGAATAGTACTGCAGAGACCCAACAGTTCAGCCTTCTGTTTATCTTTTAACAAGATTTCACCTTTCCCTTGAAAGGAATCTTAATAACAATGAAAATTCTAAGTAGTTGATCACAGTGCAAGACCAATAAGAAAGCTTTTTTTGGAGGTGGGGGGTGTTGGAGAGGAATAAGGATTGTCTGGCAAGGAAAGGACTTAGTAGAAAGTATTTTCCCATGGAATCGTAATCATTCGATTCTAAAACAAGATGCAGTCCCCTAGAAGCCATCTGCCGCTTCCCTTTGCTTCCAGGAAGGAATGAACTTGACCATCCTTTTGTTAAAAATCTCCAAGAGAAGGAGTGTGCTGCATCCCCCGCAGCTTCCCAGTACATGCGTGTGTGTGCGCCTATTTCGCCTTTGGGCTGTGCAGGCAAGCGCTAGCGCCCTCTACTGGAATGAAGTGGATTTCTCTCCTCGAGTAACAATTGATTCTTCTGGCTGAGGTAATGGATTCATTTCCTTGAGCTCACCAGAAAGGACGTGGCTTCGACAAGGACTTCCTGGCATTCCTTTGACATCTGGCATGCCACTGGTTTGCCTGGGGACCTTATTTCTTTGATTGTAGGATAGGAACGCAAAGCAAATGGGATGAAGGTGCTGGGAAACTGAGCCCTACTGCTTCTCTGATAGGCTTTGGAGTGTTTATTTGTGATGCTTGGTATCTGCACCAGTGGGGTGTTGTGTGGTAATGGAGACACAGACTGGTGTGTAACTCCCACTGGTTAAGGGAGTAGTGCATTTAAAGAGAGCAGAAATAATAATTCCAAGAAATCCAAAGATGTCAGAAGGGAAAATACTTCCCAATCACAAGCAATTTAAAGATGTGATTTTTTTTTTTAAGGCAGTAATCAAGACATATAACCTTGTCATTTGGGAGATTTTCCCCCCAAAGGAAGACTTGATGGTACTCACCGATTAGGGCTTCAAAGGGCATCTCCTCAATACATAATAAGTGCTGGCTCTCCATGGTCCTCAGCATACAGGTGCGGCTGCTATGGCTGCACACATCTTTAGTGCTGCACACTCCCCCTTCCCGCTGGACCCCCACCGGAGGCTAGCATGGGGAGGCTCCACGGTACATCCCTTTCTCCCCCTTGTCCCTTCTCTGCAATTCTCTCCCGGGGTCCAGGGATTCACAGTCGAGGCAACAAGGAAGGAATGAGATCCTGGGTGTCTGCCTCTTGTTTCTTGTCCTCACTGCTGCATCTCAGCTGGGGTTGGAGAAGTCAGTGCAGCAGAGCTGGATGCTGGCTCGTCACGGTTGCTATGGTGACCAGGAGCAGGCGACTTGACAGTGGCTGGGGAAGGCAGTAGAGAAAAGGTAACAGATGAGTGATGACGTCATAGACTCTCCTGGGATCTGTTGACCACAAGAGAGCTAAGAGAAGTGGAGTTCCTGAATGGTACTATCCAGAATGTCTGTTTTTTAGCTTCAAACCAAAACCAAAACCAAAACCAAACCCTCCTTTCTCCTTCGGGATTCTTCCCCCATCCCCCGCTGCCCATCCTTATCTCAACACACACACACACACACACACACACTAGCATTTTAAGGCTTGGGAATTCCAGTGGTGTTTTAAGGCCCCTAGCCCTAGGGAATCCTGCTAAATGGAGATTAGTGCATGACTCCCTAGGGGAAGGGTGCAGTTGCAAGAGCCCTGTTAAGGGCTCAGGACCTACACCCTTCTCCTTACTCTGAGAAGGGCTCCTGCTGCTGGAGTTTAAATAATCTTATTTCACACTTCCAAACAACGTCCCCTGGATTGTCATGGCCCATGGAACTTGAAAGAAACCTGCCAAGCACTAAAAGATGGAAGACAGGATAGATTTGAATAAATTCCTATCAGCATTTGCTTATTACAATTATAGCATTATAATCAGAGCAGAAAGAAGCATTGGAGATTATTTTGTCTTCAAGGATCATTGGCTTCAGTATGATAACCATCTCAGCTATGTAGTCAAAAGCTGATTGACTCCAGGCAGCACTTTCAGAAGAGGGCTGACCCTTGCCTGATGACTTGGAGAAGGGGCTCTTGTTTGTTCCTAGGGGTATCCCTTAATCATGTCATTGTCTACATCATTAATTAGTGTTCCCCTCCTTTCCACAGCCATTAATACGAGGATAAGGGTTGTAGTGCAGAGGTGGTACCCACTTGACATCCTGAGTCCCTTCTTCACCACACAACTCTGCATCAATGTCTCTTCCACCTACAGATCTGCAGGTGTTTTGCTCTACTTCCAGAGTAAGGGAGGGAATACATTTTTAGTGAGTTCAGACAATGTTCCTGGGCTTTTCGTGGGTTATTTCATTTAATCCTCCTGTCAATCTGTGAGATTTTACATCACTTTTATAAATTAAGAACGTAAGAGCACACAAAATAAGTTACTTGCTTGTATAAGGCTATTCATCTAGACAAGTGGTAAAACTGGAATTGCCACCCAGTTCTGTGTGACATGATAGTGGAAGGCATGAGGCCGTCTGGGTTTGGCCCAAGTGGATATTAGGAAAAACTTTCTGGGAGGTCCAGAATCACTGATAATTTCTCCTACTTCTCATTTACTGCTTTTATCTATTTCCATTGTTTTTAAAAAGAAATAAGGTGTTTATTTTAGAAAATTTGAGGGGTGCTTGGGTAGTACAGTCGGTTGAGTATCCGACTTTTGGTTTTGGCTCAGGTTGTGATCTCAGCGTTCTGAGATCGAGCCCTGCATTGGGCTCCAAGCCAGCACTGAGTCTGCTTGAGATTCTCTCTTCCTCTCCCTCTGTCCCTCCTGCTCATGCTCTCTCTCTCTCTCTCTCTAAAATAAATAAATAAATCTTAAAAAAAGAAAGAAAACTTGAAAAATATAGAAACATAAAGAAATAAAAATCACCCATAATCCTATCACCCAAAGAAAATTATGATTAATATTCCTATTTTCTTCCAGTCCTTTTTTTTTTAAAGATTTTATTTATTTATTTGACAGAGAGAGAGACAGTGAGAGAGGGAACACAAGCAGGGGGAGTGGGAGAGGGAGAAGCAGGCTTCCCGCGGAGCAGGGAGCCCAATGCGGGGCTTGATCCCAGGACCTTGGGATCATGACCTGAGCCGAAGGCAGATGCTTAACGACTGAGCCACCCAGGCGCCCTCTTCCAGTCCTTTTTTAATAAAGATTTTATTTATTTATTTATTTATTTGAGAAAGAGAGAATGAGATGGGAGAGGGTCAGAGGGAGAAGCAGACTCCCCGCTGAGCAGGAAGCCCAACATGGGACTTGATCCTGGGACTCCAGGATCATGACCTGAGCCAAAGGCAGACGCTTAACAGACTGAGCCCCCCGGCGCCCTCTTCCAGTCTATTCCCTTCTTGTCATTAAACCAAGACTTCCATAGACTGAATGTTTGTGTCACTGCCAAATTCATATGTTGAAATCTAATCTCCAAATGATGGTATTTGGAAGGGGAGCCTTTGGGAAGTGATTAGGTCATGGAGGCTGTGTCCTCATGAATGGGAACAGTGCCCTTGTAAAAGAGACTTCAGAGAGCTCTCTGGCCCTTCTGCTATGTAAGGATTCAGGGAGAAGACTGTTTACTGTCTATGAATCTTCACCAGATGTGGAATCTGATGATCCTTGGTGATCTTGGACTTCTCCACCTGTGAGAAACTGTGAGAAATGGATTTCTGTTGTTAATAAGCCACCCGTCTATGTTATTCTGTTGTTGCAGCCTGAATGAACTAAGACAAAGATCATATATGTATAATTGTATCCTGCTTTTCATTGAAAATAACCTTGTGAGGGCGCCTGGGTGGCTCAGTTGGTTGGGCAACTGCCTTCGGCTCAGGTCATGATCCTGGAGTCCCAGGATCGAGTCCCATGTCCGGCTCCCTGCTCGGCAGGGAGTCTGCTTCTCTTTCTGACCCTCCCCCCTCTCATGCTCTCTCTCTCTCATTCTCTCTCTCAAATAAATAAATAAAATCTTTAAAAAAAAAAAAGAAAGAAAATAACCTTGTGAAAATTTTACCCTCCATTACAGTTCTTTAAAAACATTACTTTAAATGCTACACAGTATTTCAGCATATGAATGTATCATAATTTCTTATTGAATATTTGAGTTGTTTTCCATTTTTATTGATTTCATATAACTGTAATAAAAATTTTTTCTACATAAATCTTGCCCATGTTTGTGAATATTTCATCTGTAATTAAGTCTTAGAAGTGAAATACTGGATTAAAGGTATGAAGTTTTGCTTTTAATTAGGACTTCATTTTTTTTTAAAGATTTTATTTTTTTTAAGTCGTCTCTAGGGGCACCTGGGTGGCTCAGTCAGTTAAGGCATTTGCCTTCAGTTTAGGTCATGATCCTGGGTCCTGGGATTAAGCCCTGCCTTGGGCTCTTTGCTCAGCAGGGGGCCTGCTTCTTCCCCTCCCTCTGCCCTTCCCCCCTTCTTGTGCTTGCTCTCTCTCATGCTCTCTCTCTCAAATAAATTTTAAAAAATTAATAAAGTCATCTCTATACCCAATGCAGGACTCGAAGATCAAGAGTTCATTGCTCCACCAACTGGCTAATGGTCTTAGCCAGCCAGGTGCCCTAAGACTTTACTTTTTTAGAGCAGTTTTAGGTTCATAGTAAAATTGAGGGAAAGGTACAGAGATTTCCCATATACTCCCTGTTCCTACACATGCATAGCCTGCCCATTATCAATATCCCCAACCAGAGTAGAACATTTGTTATAGCTACACTGATACATCATTATTGCCCACATAATTTATCTTACAGTTCATTCTTGGTATTATACATTTATGGGTTTGGACAAATGTATAATGATATGCATCAATCATTATGGTGTCATATATTTTCATTGCTCTAAAAATCCTCTGTGCTCTGCTTATTCATCCCCCAACCCCTGGCAACCAGGAGTTTTTTATTGTTGTTACTGTCTCTATAGTTTTGCCTTTTCCAGAATGTTATATAGTTGGAATCATATAGCATATAACCTTTTCAGATAGGCTTCTTTCACTTAGTAATATGCATTTAAGAATCCTTCATATCTTTTCATGACTTGATAGCTCATTTCTTTTTAGCATTGAGTAATATTGCATTGTCTGAATATATTACACTTTATTTATCCACTCATCTACTGAAGGAGATCTTGGTGGCTTCCAAGTTTTGCCAACTGTGAATAAAGCTTCTATAAACAACCATGTACAGGTTTTTGTGTAGTCATAAGTTTTCAATTCCTTTGGGTAAATACCAAGGAACATGATTGCTGGATCATATGCTAAGAGTATGTTTAGTTTTGTAAGAGAATGCCAAACTCTTTTTCAAAGTGGGTATACCATTTTGCATTCCCACTAATAATGCATGAGAGTTCCTGTCACTCCACGTCCTTGCTAGCATTTGATGTTGTCACTGTTCTGTCTTTTGGCCATTCTTACAGGTGTGCAGTGGTATCTCATTGTTTTATTTATTTTAAAGATTTTATTTATTTATTTGTCAGAGAGGGAGAGAGAGAGCACAAGCAGGCAAAGCAGCAGGCAGAGGGAGAAGCAGGCTCCCTGCTGAGCAAGGAGCCTGATGTGGGACTCTTATCTCAGGACCCCGGGAGCTGAAGGCAGATGCTTAACTGACTAAACCACCTAGGCGTCATTCATTGTTGTTTTAATTTGCATTTCCCTGTGATGATGTGGAACATCTTCTCATATGCTTATTTTCCAACTGAATACCTTCTTTGGGAGGGGTCTGTTAAGGTCTCTCATCCATTTTTTAACTGAATTGTTTGTTTTCTTACTGTTGTATTTTAAGGGTTCTTTGTATATTTTGGATAATAATTCTTTATCGGATGTGTCTTTTGCAAATATTTTCTCCCAGTCCATGGCTTATCTTCTCATTCTCTTGATACTGTCTTTTGCAATTAGAAGTTTTTAATTTTAATGAACTCCAAGGTATCAATTATTTCTTTCGTGGATTGTACCTTTGGTGCTGTATCTAAAAACTCACTACCATACTCAAGATCATCCAGGTTTTCTCCTGTATTGTCTTCTAGAAGTTTTGTAGTTTTGCATCTTAACATTTAGTTCTGTTATCTATTCTCAGTTGATTTTTGTGAAAGGTGTAAGATCTGTGTCTAGATTTTTTTTTTTTTTTGCATGTGGATGTCCAGTTGTTCCAGCACTGTTTTTTGAAAAGATTATCTTTGTTCATTGTATTGTCTTTGCTCCTTTGTTGCAGATCAGTTGACTATATTTATGTGGGTCTATGTCTGGGCTCTCTCAGTTCTTTTGATCTATTTGTCTTTTCTTTCATCAATACAATAGT